GTTAGTATCGTTGTTTGTATCACGATTTGCTGTTGTTCTCTTAAGAGAAACTTTACGCAGTTGTTAATTACCAATACTAATTTATTTTAAATTTTGTTTATCAATTAAACTTATATATTATAAATGGAAGATTGAAAAGTAATCGAATTGCAAAGACAATAATACTGTAGATTTGCCCATTTGTAGGGTAAATGGGCAAATATGTTATTGTCTACAATACAGTTTCAATCATTTGATACTGTATTGTTTTCCCATTCAGCTGAGTTTTAAAACATGATATTTGAATCACTGCAGTAAGAAAAATTAATTGTCTGACGGCATCTATTGAAAAGTTAGTTGTCAATAGAAGAAATATTATGAATTGATTCATAAAGATATGTATAATTAGTATTATGTAGACTACCGACAAAACTATGAAAAAGAATATACAGATTATTTAAGGCACACGCAAACACAGATTTAATTATGTGGAGGCCCAAGATACTCACAGTTATGGTGGCCTTTGTAACGAATATCGCTCGTATAAATCTTACTATAGGCTATATTTCGTTTCATAAATCATTCTAACTTGTTTTTATTTTTATTTTCTCGTAGTGGATGTGTCTGGACACGTGCCCAGAGGCTTCCATAAAAGGAAAACAGTACACTGTTACGTATATATTTATAACATACAAAGTAAATTTTCTAAGGCTAAATAGTGTTGGTTTAATAATAAATTGCATTTTTTTTTAAAGATAAGAAAAACAAATCCTTAAAACGATTTCGATCTTATTACTTACAACAATAGCTTAAGGATAAAAAAAAAAGTATATTATTCTTTAATTAAAGAAAAAAGAAAATAATGTTTAACACAGGTGAATTAGAAATTTATGAAGTGTTTTCAATATCGAGATTTTTGGTCCATAATTAATTTCGCAAATTTAATGGGTCTAAGTCAATTTTAATTCTAAATTCCCCTGTAATTTTTACCAAAATACGCTAGCAATATAATAAAAATTTGAATTTGAATTAATTTTTTTTTTATAAATAAAATTGTAAATTTAGAAAACATTCGGCAAGAAAAATATAATTTCTTTTGATGTAAATTTATATATGGGCAATTATATAAAATAACTATTCTCATAAAAATACTGTAGGAATAATATGAAAGGATCTTTTAGAAAGTGGAAAAAGAAAGAAAGAGAAAGAGAGAGAGAGAGAGAGAGAGACAGAGCATTACATTTTCTTTAGTCGTTCAAAATACTTTTCGATAAACTAGTTGCTTTCGATAATGGTAAATAAAGATGAAAATACATCAGATTATAGCCAAATATTATCAAATATCTCATATTCCTCATCATTTACTATCATTTTTAATCAATTAGATTGGATAGTTATAAGAGTTTCTATTCGGATTGAAGAGCTTATTGAATTTTTTCCAATGGATTCCAATTCTAATTTAAATATTTCCAAAACTTTCTACTCGATAATTTTTCTTCAAACGTTTCTTAGAAATTCTTTTGAATGACGGCAGATTATATTTTATTTTACATTCTTAATATAAATACAGATTTCTTTTTAGTTGGATTTAAAAACGTGAAAGTTTTTCTATCTTAAAAGTTTATGGTTGTAGCATAAGATCTAAATATGAAGATCCTTTGAGATCCAATTTGAGATCCTTTCGTGCTTCAAATTGCTTCTTTTTATGAAGTATTTTGGAGATTTGGATAGGGAAGGATTCATTTAAAGCATAAACTTTAGTCGAAAATGATATAAAATTAAAGTTCTGTTTTCATAAATAATCTGTTTATTGATTTTATTCGTATATATTTATAGCTTTCGAAAAGGAGTGAGGACCCCAGTTTTGACTTGCATAAGTCCTAACCTACCTTATTTAGATCTCTATTATATGTTTATATTATTTAGCTAGCAGCTTAATTAGGCTTTTGTTAAACGCAATGCGGGGTTCGAGAAGTCTGGAGTCCATGACGCTTAAATATTTTTAAAATTACACATAGTATCAGTAAAAAAAAGACGATCGAAAAATTACAAACTTCATTTTTCCTCTATGTCCTTACTGTTTTACATTTCTGTGTATATATTGTCTACTTGGACATTGTTTATTAATAAGACATTATACTGGTGTAGTTTCTGATTAGCAAAGAGGAGATCTTAGTCAAAAGTCAAACCAAAATATAGAATCTTTATTTTCATATATTAAAAATAAAGATTTTGACTTACGATTAAGATTTCCTCTCTGCTAATTAGAAACTACACCAGTATAATAAGTCCTATTTATTTTTCTTAGACTGAGAGACCCGAAATTTTTCTTCACGAGGTTTCCAATGTACCTCGTGAAGAATGTACCTGTACGTTTTAAATTACGGAATAAATGTTTGTATGTTAAGTGTATGCAATTTTTCAAACATGTATAAAGATTATTTTTGTTTGTATCGACTATTTGAAAGCAGAATATCGATTTTATTCCAATTTATCGCATGAATCACCAACAGTACGTCATTTACCTCTTTGATATTGATTGGTTTATGCTATAATAAACAAAATACTTTGATGTTTAATGTGTTCTAAATGTGAAGTTATTGAATGATTTTTTTAAAAAAATAACCTATTTTTCCTTGACGACCGGATGACCGAGATATTAAGACACAACGCCAGTCTACCGCTCGAGGAAATCTGGGATCGAATCCGGTCTCGCAACTGTGATTAAAACGACCGTGCTCACCCCTTTGTGGGCCCAGCCTAACCCCATCTCAATCTTTAACAGCTGTAGAGAAAGTAATTTAATAAATACCAAGAGTTGGTTTTGGCCCTACAAAGGGATAAGAAGCACTCTATTTAGCAAGTAAATCAGGATTTACTTTGCTAATAACCTTCTCGTGTCCTGGAACCCAAAAGAGAAAGACTATTATGGGTAGCCAACTCCTTGACGTGCAAGCAACACTCTCAAAGAGTCAATACCTTTAAGAGATCCTGACTGCCAGAAACAATGTAGATAGAGAATACTTACGTAAAATAGTGCAAATAGTAGTTAGCAACTAAGGATTGCTAGCTATTTGTAGTCACTGGGATAAAAATGCCCTAATCATTTGTAAACCAGACTATCCTGTGAACGAAAAGCCATCCTATCCATAATAGGAGTCAAGACTTGTAGGAATGGAAGTCAGATAACCAAATAGGAGAAGTGTCCTTTTTTTGCCCCATGTCCTTCTTTTGCCCCGTAGGCACTCAAGGACAAAGCAGCTAGTTTAATGAATAACAAATACAGTTGTTCTTAGTCATCCTTATATATATATTTCAATTAATTTACTTTTGGGTCATCATAGATATTGTAAATATTTAATTTAATTTTTAACTTTTAAATATTTATTTTTCAGATACGTAGCTTTGGAAAATTTTACAATTATAGAACAATTTACTATTTTTAATTTCAATTTTGAAAGTTTTAATTCTTCATTGAATAAAAAAGAAATGACTAATATCTATTAAAAACAGTTTAATTGTTTTTATCATATAATTAAATTTTTCTAGTTTTATCTTTATTTTCTTGCTTAAGTTATTGATTCTAAAATATTTATTTTAAAATAATAAATATTTTCAATTATAAATTAATATTTTACTATTTTTTGTTAAGAAGAATCAATAGTAAAACATTATCATTTGTATATTGATATTTACTATTTAAAAATTAATACACAAATATTTAACGTATTTAAATAAGAAATTCTTATATAATTTACAAAAGCTATGATTAACTTTACATTAATTACAACCAAATAGACTACAATCAATTGTTTTTGTTTTTAATAAAGTATGATACACAATTATTAATTTAAAATTGTATGGATAATAAATGTCAATAAAATGCCTGAAACTATATCTAATTATTTTTATTTAGTACTGTTTAATATATCATTTCTTTAAAAAAGAACTAACATTAAACTTTACTTCTAATATATTCAAATTAAACAATGTTACTTGTATTCCATTCAATTCTCAATTGTTCTAAAGTATCTGTGCAAAAATAAGTAACAATTTTTTTTCTATTATTTAAAATAAAATCAAATTCTAATCTACATTAGGAATTAAACCGAAAATAAATACTTATTTTCATTAATCTTATGTCTGAACCTTTAATTTTAAATACATACACTACTTTCGAATTTACTTATGTGTGTGTTTCTGTTTGAATATCAAGTAAGAACGGATAAATCCTTCTCAGGTTATAGAATGTATTAGAGTAAATTTCGATTTAAAATTGTTTTTGATGGGATTTATTATAAGTACAATACATATTCTTTTTATATATATACATTTTTATGTGTTTATATATATATATATATATACTAAGAGAATTTTAGAGTTGAGAACAATGAATTTAATTTTAAGAACTCTCTGTAATGTTTATGTTTAAATCGTTTTGTTATTATATTTAATAATTAAATAAATTTATAAGAAATTAATAAGTCAATTAATTTATTGATATTTCGAATAATTATTAAATTAACACGGGTTATCTGAGAATGGAAGAAAAAGAGAGAAGAAAAACTTGTGAACTGATAGATTTTTACATTCATTTGACATTTTTATTTTTACAAAAAGGAATATTATTCAACATATATTATTGTAACAAAACAATTGAGAATTTTCTGCATATTAAATACTTTAAAATTCAATTTTTTTTATTTAATAAAAAGTTAACGTTATATCTGTAAATTCATATATCTTTCATATCGAAACGTTTTTTGATATTTGAAAGTATCGACTAAATAATACAAAGAAAGTGTTTTTTATTTTTTATTCTATTTTCAAAAACTGTTGTACAAAACTTTAAATTTGAAAACATAAATCTAACTAAATGTCTAGAGAAGTGTGTTTTTTTTTTTAAATAAATAAATTTATATTTAAGATATGTAATATTTAGATAATATATTTTTAAAATATTTCATTCCTTTTTCTGTAAACCCGCATTATATATTTATGTTGACAGAAGGTAAACAATAAATATGCAATAAAGCATAAAGATGTTAATAAATTACTTTTGTAAATATTTTCGTGAAATCTTCATAGATTCCCAATCATTTTTTGCTTGTCAATCTCTTTCTAAAATTAGAATCATTCACCAGTCTCCTGTTGATACAAAATAATAATAAGTTACAGATAAGATAAAGTAAAGAATCAAATAGAAATTACTATTTTTATTAAACATAAATCAAAAGCCAAAAACTAAGTGTTTTATTCTACTAAATTTGAAATATACGTTAATAGTTATCACTAAACGATCCCTGGTAATTAACAATACCCAGACAAATCTACTAACCTCTCGGGATCTCTAGTGACTAGCTAAGTAACTCTTGCTATTCATCGTTTAAATAATTGATTAAATTACCGATAATAAATACAGTATTTAAGAATATCATGTTGCAATTATCAGGGCATATAATGTTTTCTGAACAGAGGATCTTAAGTCCCGCTCATGTTTACCATAACATGCTGTCGGTGCCTCTTACCATATCTCGCATAAAGTTTCTTTTACAATTAGCCATGATATCTTATATATTAGATAATTAGTATTATAGAACTTATCGCTTCCACCTGAGAGTCAACAATATTTTTTAGCGCTTGAGCTTTATATTGAGTGTCAACAATATGTTTCTTATACAGTGTGTCTTATAAAAAGTGATCCAGGTTTTAGCTAAGAAAGAATTGTCAGATTTATGTAAACAATGCTTGCTTTCATACATTATTGTACATAAGGCTATTTATTGATGCAACAGTGATTTTCTCTTAGTGAGTCAAGGGGTAAAATTATTTCCACTTTGCAATTGGAAGCTGCAGTTTCAATTGCAAAGTTGTAAATCAGGTAGAAATTAATATATTTCATAATTTATTAATAAATGTATTAATTTCTGTCTGATTTATAACAATCAAAAGGATAAAGAAGATGTGCCTCTTCCGAAAATTTACTGTTGTGTAAATTCGGCTTTCCTATAGTTCTGAGTAAGTGTTTGCTTCTCAAGATCTAAGCAATTTGTCACTGATGAGTATATTTTTGTCTCATTAAAGATCTCACACGACAAAAAGAAGGCTGTAGTTTGAAATTTACCATTTTATTCACACAGAAAGAGAATAAAACAAGCGAAAAACAAAAGCATACAACTAAAAAAAATCTCTGTATCACGTTATACATTAAAATAAGCAAACACTTCCATTTAACAGAACCTCGAAGAAATCACTCAAACATGTGTACATTAAGAAAAATAAAACGTGTATATTTGCCCAATTGTTCTGTCATAAACATGGGAAATTACGTCTGGATATGGTGTTTAATAGGCCTTCAGAATTCGCCTTTTAAGATCTGCAATATTTAATTTACTTTGGGCTGCTCAATAGGTAACACACACTGCACTCTAGGAACACGACATCAAATTCGTTTTTCCCTAAACGTGTGGTGTGGAATTTGAAACGTTCGAGTCATTTGGTCTTGTTCTTTTTCTAGAGAATATATGGCAAAGAAGTATTTGCATTTCTTGCAATCTGTAACTTATCGATGGTTAATGCCATTATATTTGTAGTTTATCTAGGTAAACATAGTCATTGTGGTCACTACGCTGCAATACGTAGTTCATTCTGAGAAGTATGGCTGGCATTATTGTGATGACCATGAAGTTACACGTAAAGGATACTTTTCAAATAAGTTAATGAATGTTTCACTACTTTTGTTTCAAAAAATTTAAGGCAAATACTTGCTACTATAAAACAAACTATCATACATTTATTAACTTGCAGGTGAAAAGTTTATGGAAGCTTTATCGGGTCAATAATTATGAATGTGAGAGCCATGTTTGGTGAAAAAAATTTTTGTTTAATTTAGTTTTTCGTTAAAGTTGTTTTGCTAAAATCGTTAAAGATAATTAAACTATTTTCCCACGGACTTATTTCCTTGTTGAAGATGATACATCAAATGTGTCACCCGGAATCAACGAGTGAAAATGTGACTATTGGTCCCGAGGTACTAAACCTCCTAACGAAGTCATGGAAAAAATCCAGGAGGAGCCCCCCGAATAAAAAGGGAGGGGTGACAAGAAGCCGGAACAGTCATCAACCCTTTTTCCTAAGTGTGTGTGTGTGATGTGTGTTTGTCGATTTCAGCCTTCGCCACTCGCTGCCCTCGCAAGAGAAAAAGAACTTTTCTTCCAGAGTCGCTGAGCCGTCATCGAACCGACCATCGATTCGCCGAATCTAGGATTACCACTTCCTAGGACCAACAAGTGATTAAGGTATTTACCTTCTCGCGAACTTACCGTGAGCTCTCTCTCTCTTAATCAGGGTCGCGTTATATATATATATCCCTTTAGCAATTGTGCTAAGCCTCTAACTTATTTTTAGCCATTGGGCTAAGCTTCTGAATGACGGAAACTTGTAACCAGTATCTCGTAGAATTTGTAAATACTATCTATCAATAAATAGGTATTTTTGTTAAATGATAACTTGTGGAATGTACTTCTTCTGGTTCTCTCCTTCCGCCTCCATTCCGAGTCCGGAAGCTCACTCGCGCAACGAAATTAGCGGCCAATCCGGTTTAATGTCATCCTGACAAGTGCACACAGTGGTCATCCTGACAAGGCATCGAATTGGTGCCGATCCTGCGGTCACATGATATATGATAAATATATAGGAATAAAATGTATGATTATTATTATTGAACTCTTCTACACATCTTGGTAGCACTCTATAGTAAAGCTGAGGCACGCGTAATGATATAAAAGTGCCAACTTTGACCGTCAATAACTGATCCTCTATTGTTCAGTCAATTATCATGTGACATGACTCACTGCAGGCTATTCAGGTAAACTTATAGTAGAGTCCCACAAATTTGACTTAATGTGGACTGAGAAGGTGACGAGTTTTATATATATAAAAAAATATTGTAAATGTTAATAACGAATAACATCTTCAAGTCCGACCTCTCTCAAGATATGACACATGAACCCTTTATCTCCCCACCTCTAATATTAAGGAGTTATGATGCTATTAAATTAAGAAGAAGCATCAATTCTTTATACCCAAGCTATCATGCCAAATTTCGTTTCTTACAGACGCCAACACACACATACACTGATTTTTTTGTTTTTTTGGTTCAGGTCTCNCTGAGAAGGTGACGAGTTTTATATATATAATAATGTAATATTGTAATATATATATATATATAAATTCGAAAAAAGTCTGAAGTTACATTCCAAATTCAATTGGTTAAGATGTTAGAATCACATGTAAACCTTTTAACAATCACTGCTAATGTCAATAAGTGTTAGCTTCTTAAACAATGATACAAAAGTACAACACCGTTATACTTAATATAAATTTTTATTAACTCGTTTAATATAAAACAGAAATTGCAGCTCCTCTCTTCAACAAATAGTGCATTAATTAAATACTAATATTTGTCAGAATATTTCTTACAAAAGGGAATATATCTTTCAAATATAGCTTGCACTGAGAGAAGTCTCAGTATCATATCATATAAACATCTCCTATAACAGAAAATAAACATACTTTCGTGAGTCAATTAATTCTATAATTTATAGAAGTATGAGGTACACTTTTAAAAACGTATTGCAATTTATTCTTTGTTTCTTCTGTAAATTTCCGATTGGTCTTTCCTTGTCTCCAGTTGACAATTCGAAACCTTTCGGGGCGCGGGAGAGGTCGTCATCGAAGCTCAACCCGATACCGATCAACTTGTGAAATTCTCCCTCGTAATTTCAACCCTTGGTTCATCTTTTTGACAAAGAAAAATTTTTCAATTGTCTTCGGGAGACATTATGTCGTCTTTATTTTCTATAGGTGAGAGTCTAACTGTCCCGTCGGATATTCGTTAATATTTAAACACTAAACTCCGAATTCCTTCCTGGACCTTACAATATCTTCGATAGACGTCGATGATCACTACCTAAAGATTACGGTTTAATAAGTTTCCATTTTATTTAGGTTTTACTGCGTTATAATGTATGCCTCATAAAAAAATGAATCTGAAATTAAAAATATATTTATAAAATAATTTAAATATTTAATTAGTACATCCTAATTTTTGTTTTAATAAATATTTAGATAATTCTTTCTTTCAACTAACTTCTAAGTAAAATATAAATGACATTTTTCATAATTCATATTGAGGTTATTTAGATTTATGAAAGAATATACCAGAGGTGGGGAACCTTTTTACCATTAGAGGCCACATTTAAACTAGGCAGCAATAAGAGAGGCCGCATAAGCTGATTGACCTAAGAAAGTGACTTTTGTGAAATTATTATAGTTTTTCTATAGATTTAACAATTTATTGCATTATATAGATATAGAAAAAATAAAATATAATACTACAAAATTTTAAATATAATATACATATAAAATAATATAAAAATATTATAAAAAAATACAATAAAAAATATTTTTTTATTCACTANTTTTTAAACAGTTTTTTTTCGTTTAGTTACTAAACGAAAAAAAACTGTTTAAAAAATTAACATTGAGTGTCCAAGTCTGAAACGGATGGTCTGTGGGCCAGAGCCTCGCTCATGCGTGTTAGAGTCCGTTTCAGACTAGTATTCTGACGTCATGTTACAATATGACTGTCTTTGGCGGGATTTTTCGCGCAACTGTCATGGCGTTGATGTACAAATAGTTGTTTGAAACAAACTCTACCATTTTTGTACTAGGTGGCAAAGGGCCGCATAAGAACCTCGCGGAGGCCGCAGGTTCCCCACCTAGGGAATATACATTAAAATAGTTAATATTTATGTAATGAACGTATACGTAAATTGTATTTTACTCTCTAAATGTACAGTACAACTAATTCCTTCTTTAATTACATTTAACTCGGTGTTATTATCTGCTTATTTCTGCAATTTTACTATTTCAAGATGTTCATTTTGTAAACACTACTCCGTTCCTTGAAAACGAATGGGTAGTGTTTACGAAACACTACCTAATTCTAGTGTCTCAACCATTGGGTTCATTTTTGCTTCTGAAATGTTACAAAGAGAACTTTTCTGTCATTACTTTGTACGTTACGCATGTAATTATTGATAAGAAAATAGTTGAGTACCCTATGCTCTGTATTATTCTTTAGTAAGAGTTAAAGAGGTTGATTGAGAATATACGTTAAGTAGTCTTTGGGATGGATATGTGTGATAACGGAGCGTTAGAGCAAGTGGAATGATAGTTGAAAAGCATAAAAATAATGTTAAGTAATTCATGGACTATTCCAGTAATTATTTACTATTACAGTACTTTAATTATCATAAAACATTTACATTTAATATCACTTAATATCTTGTTTTATTCTAACTTCAGTAAAAGTTTGAACATTAAAATGTTAAATTCCTATTAAATCATTTTTGATAAACAAAACTATTTGAATTTGAGCATATTTATTTGGATAAATTAAATTTATTAGTTTTTCATTTAACACAATGCACAAAATTAAAATAAATGTTTTCAGCACGATTAAATATTTTTTTAATATTTGATTCCTGCTGAGATTTGAATGAATTGTTTACGTCAAAGAAAATAATAAAATAAAATATTTCTTACTTTAATTAATAATATTAAAAAAAANAAGCTCCTTTCTGAAAAAAATTATCCACTTAATTAATGATTTGAACGAGTCCATGATTGTATCTTTAACTTCATCGTCAACTGAGACATGTAACCCACTAAGATGTTTCTTAAGAAGTCAAAAGGGTAAAAATTAGAAGGTGTCTGGATTACATGTAGGATGGTATAATATTAGTATAATACATTTAAAGTAATCGATAAACATTTTAAAATTAATTTTATTTTATGTTTTAGTAAAAATTCTTTTTGTTCATACAGTATTTCTTTGCAATTAATTTTAATTTATAATTAAAAACAATCATAATAATTCTCCGGAAGTAAGAGAGCTTTGTAATTCCGATGAACCATATCTCAATGCCGGCAGAAGCATAAGCTTCCCATAGTCATCCGTGCCAGTAAGTTATATTGAGAAAAATTAATCTCTGTTCATAAATGTTAGCAGCGACTGATTTACAAACACCTGGCTTTAGATATGTAAACACTCATTTTTATGAAGAAAAAAAAGAAATTGAAAAGGACAAAAACATGAACAATACACCATTATTCCCTGTGTCGAAATATACATACATGGCATTCAAAATGCCCTTTGCACCAAACCAAACCAATGGTTTGGTGCAAAGGGCATTTTGCACCAAACCAAAGCAGCACATGGGCAACTTTGCACCAAACCAATGGTTTGGTTTGGTGCAAATTTGCCCATGTGCTGCTTACACTAATCCAAACCAATGGTTTGGTTTGGTGTAAGCAACACATGGGCGATCTGCTAAGGGAAGTTCCTTCCGGAAAAACTTACTATAGGAAACTGGCCCGTATTCAGATGTTAGACAAAGTTTAGAAAACACAGAAAAATCCGTTTGTGAGGCGTAAACCAGCGACCAACTATCAGTGTTCAGTGGTATCTACTCAGCCACTAGTGTGTCAAATGCAATACAAAACACATATAGTTGGAAAACCCTGGTATAGACAACGTTCATAATTTTGGTACGAAGAACTTACATCTCTGTACCATATACTAAATAAACATTTTACACATACAATCAACAATCCACAAGACACCCCAAAACTTCTTACGCAGGATATTACATACATGAAATCTTAAAACGACAACACCAGAGATTTTATACAATACATACCAATCACAAACCTTCCTAACACTGTACAAATACTTATTTCATGCATCACGAGCAAAATATGCCATCATGAAGAACAACACAAAATTCTCACATAATAACAAAATGCTGTCTTAAAAACCACACGAGATGCAAATAACAACACAGCAAAGGTTGTTCTTTCTATCATTCAACCGTATGCGTACAAACAACACAGAAGCTTATACGTGACATACATAAATTCCAGGAAGGTATTTATATTTAACATTCCACATTTATAATTATTGCGTACACTAAAAGTAAAGAAAATAAATTCAACACTCATTATTTTTTAGAAAACACAATGCAATACTGGTGAACAATACTACAGGAGTTAAATTGATAAATCTAAAATAATGGTATACCGAAATGGTAGAAAACATTCCAAAACTGTAAATTGGTTTTTACAAAATTATAAAATAGAAGTAGTTAATGAGTATAATTACAGTACCTGGCCGTATTTTTCCAGTCTAATGGGCGTTTCTTAAAGCATTTAAAGTAGCTTATATTCATAG